CCATATCAGCTTCCCCTGTATCAGCTGTGGAAGAGATTTCCAGCTGGAAAGGGAAAAGCTGCTGCAGTGGGACCCTGAGAACTGTGTGATGTTTCTGTCTATTAAGAGTTTTGGTCTCCACTGCGGCCTCTCTGGGGCTCTCCAGATGACTTTGTGGGACAGACGGAACTTCACAGTCCCCGGTGGATTCCCTGGGGGCTGTGGTGGTTTGTCTCTCCATTCTCGCCTGGCTGGATGCTTCCTCTCTGTTGTACCCACCTCTCCTTTCCCAGGCTCTCATTCCCCAGGCATCTCTCTCTCCTCTGTACCTTGAGTTATTTTATTGCAGGTCTGGGTTTTCCTTCTCATCCTTTTGCCTTCCAGAAAATACTTGACTTTTAACTGCATCATTGGCATTTTCCAGGTACTCCTCTTGCAGATATTCCAGCACCTCTTGGGAGCATCCCAGCAGCCCCCCACCTGCCTCCCCAGACACTCACCTTGCTCTGGGTGCTGCCGATGTGTCCCTGCAGACAGCGTGACCTTGCTCCTGTCACCGGTGGTGGCCTTGGTGACCAGCCCCTCTCCTGGAGCTCCTCGCCCCGGCCCAGCGTCCCCACACTGCCTTCAGAGAGGACAGTGGTGCCGCTGGAGCTGTGCCAGCTTTGGCAGCTGGAGCCTGGCAGATTTAAAGTCTTAATTGCCTGGATAATTAAAAATCTGAGGAAGTTTCCCCAAAGCACGAAGCTGTCCCAGCCCAGTCGAGCACGCACCGTGCAGGGTGGTGGCCAAACACCACAACTCTGCCTTCCCACGAGCCCAGCCACGCCTGGGGGCTTCAGGGTGCATTTGTTCCCACTCCTGTGGCTGACACCGAGGCAGAGCTGCCTGAACCCTTTTCCTAGGCAGGGATTTGATCCAAGCCCTGGACTAGAGATACTGTACAGGCAGCTTCTGCAAACTGTATCACCACCCCGTCACTCATCCCACTGCAGGGAGGGCAGTGCTGGGGAGCCCAGGATTCATTCTGGGATCTATGTGTGGTTGTCTCCACGTATCGAGGGGTGGGTGCCATCAGGAATGAGCTGGATGAGCCACTGACTGGGGAGGGAGAGCCCAGACAGGGACAGGGTCCAACTCCATCCTTGCCTGCATGCACCAGGACTGGTGACAGCCCCTGGCCAGGGAGGTGACGCAGGGCAGACTTTAACGCCCGTCTCCTGTTCTGTGCACGTGGCAACTGCGGCTGCAGATTTACGGCTCCAATTAATTGTGAGTAAATTAGAGGCACCCGAGTGAAACCACAGACAAGAGGCTGTTTTCTGTGTCCTGCTCCTTCCTTGACACTGGACCGTCCCTGCCCACCCTGGGAGGGAAGGGGGGCTCCAGCAGAGCTCAGTCCCCCAATGAGGAAGGTGTTGGGTGACACTGTCCCCAAAGTTTGATGCTGCTCCCCTATGTGGGTTGTCTGTCCCAGGGCCATTTCCCTCTTTGACCCTCACACTTCTGGCCTGGTCCCCACACCCTGCCCCCCCATTCCAGGGGTCTGATCGTTGTTTGGATGCATGGCTCTCCAAGCACCCTCTGAGCAGCACACATTCCCTGCCCTCAGCCTCCTGGAAGGGGGATTTCTCTCATGCTGAGAGTTCCACACTCTTCTACTCCCTCTCTTCACCAGCCCTCCAAGCCATGGGTGAGCCACTGCTTCCCAGGAGAGTGCTCCATCATCCCTGTTGACAGTGCCTCCCAATTCCCTGTCATCAAGCAAATCTCATCACGTTCCCTCCTAACCTTTGTGCAAAGGTTGTGAGAAATGCCAGGGCCATATTTCACAGGAAATATGAGTCCGAGCAGTCCCAGGCTCGGGGCTGAGCGGCACAGCCGGCTCTGCCTGCAGTGGGCATCCCCAGCCCTTGGCCAGTGCTGCAGCAGCCACTGGGGGCGGCTCACGGGGAAGGGACCGGCACTCTGCGGCTGGTTGCAATGGATTAGGAGAGCTGGGCTTGCCTGTGCTGCCTTATCTGCCCAATAATTGAACGGAATAAGCTCTCTTATCTCTGTGGCCTGGCTTTTCCATGACAGTCCGCTTATCTCAAAGCCCTTGGAGATTGTGAGCAGCCGTCGAGTCTCTGAGAGTACTGCATCCATCCACTCCTGACAGGATTGGGTTTCCCAGCACAATACCAGGACACAGCCCCTCCTCTGCCCCCATCCTGCCCTAGAGATGCAGGTCCTGCCAGAGGGGCTGTCTGGGAGGATGTTCCAGCAGTCTGCTGCAGGTCATGGCTGCGACTCTGAGGCCCCATGGGAAGATGGGTGCCTCTCCCCTCGGGGAAGGTGAAAATGACCCCTTGGAAAAAAATCCAGGGAACTGATGCATCCCTTGTGTTACTGCCCACCTCTGCTTTGCTTTTGGTTGGCACATTTCAGCACAGGTCCCCCAGGCCCCTCCATCAAGCAGCTTCACACAAAGATTACAGGGAGAAACGCTGACTATTTGGGGTTCTTTATTTTGTTATCAATTACTGTGGATTGTGTGAGAAAATAAGTATAAAAGCAGCTGTGAGTGAGTGCCACCAGATGGCAATGAGAATAGCAATGGCCCAGGGGGCTCATGGCCAGGCTGCCAGTGGCACGGCCTCTGGCTCTTGGGAGAATACAGCAAGAGAGAGCTCAGCCCCTGGGCTGGGGTGCCCCACAGCCTCCTGCCATGCCCAAGCCCCCCTGGGGAACACAATGAAGCAGAATATGAGCCATTCTGCTCCTCATTTTTCCACCCAAACCCTCAGGATGGTTCTCCTGCCCAGACAATACCAGAGGAACCTCTGTCCTGGCCACGGTGCCAGCGGGGGATGCTCCACATCACCCGCACCGAGCGGAGCAGTAATTGGGTCTCTGAGGTAAAACACAGGGATTGCAGGCGGCTGCAGCTGCACGACTGATGGACCACAGAGGAGACATTAGCATGTAAAATGATGACCATTAACTTAATTAAAGAAAGGACACAACACGCATCTTGTTCTTGTATTGGAGCTGCTTCTTCCCACAAATCGTTGGTTGGGGATTTTGATTTCCTTATGTAGGAGACAAAACACCTCAAAAGCGCTGTTTGTTTTTTTTTTAAGATCAGGATGAAAACACTGTCATAAATTAGCAGCAGAATAAATGACTTCTGAGCACTGGATTTACGTGAGCTCTTCCTGAGGGATGGCTAACCCAAAAAAGCCAGCCCCAGTCCTACCTGCAGGACCCGAGGACCAGGTGGGATGGTGCAATCCTGACCACACCATCAGCTCCCGGGAAATCAACTGTACATCTGGGAAAACAGTTGGGCATTCCAGCCCAGGAGTACAGCATGGGAAAGCTGGCATATGGAAAGTCCTCCTCAAGGATGTCTGGGCAGCATCCGAGGCTGGAGGGATGTCCACAGGTCCCTGGAGAGCAAGCCCTGCTGCCCATCCTTCCTCCATCCCTCCGCCAGCCTGGATGCCGGCACGGGTCAGCCGGGATGCTGCGGGAGCGGGCAGATGTGCTTGTAATTAGGATGCATCAAATCAGTTAAAGCTGAAAACAAAGAAAATTAGAGAAAATGAAGAGGAAATGAAACGGCTCGCGCAGATGCAGGGGAAATATTTTTAGTCCTCTAAGTCCATGGTGTCTGTTGTTTGGAAGAGTCCACGCTGAATCCTCCCAGGACTTGCTTCCTTTCAAATGAGGTTGCCATCTCCCAGTGCTGCAATTAGTCGTGTCCGTGCAGCTTCTGTGGAGTACAACCAAAGCACTTAATTTTCATTAAAAAGACGACATTGGAAGCAGTTTTGAAGGACAGGCACAGGCACTGGTAACTGTGTTCCTGAGGATGGAATGGGACACGCAGATGCATAAATTACCGGGCTCCTTTTCCACGCTCCTTCCTCTGCTTCTCTGCAAAGAAGATTGACTCGACTGTAGGTGCCTCTCTGATATCTCTTTGTAAACCCTATTTACATTTGTGTTAGATAATTCAGTATATCCATAAATTAGTGTTGAACATCAGTTGGTTTTACAGAAGCATTGCATAATCTCCGCCTCATGGGTGTTCACGGCCCGTCCCAGGATCCCAGCAGAGGCAGGGGAGGCCAGTGAGTGTTGGCAGCAAGGACCCGTTCTCCTGACATCCCCTGGAGGTTCCCATCAATTTATGGCTGACCCACCACACGCTGGACACTGCCCAAATCTGGAGGGGCATTGGCAACTCCATTTGATTTAACTCTCCACAAGGTGGGAAGTGATGGGACTGCATCCGCCTTGCTCAGCATCACATTGGCATGAGAGCTGTCCTTGCACCAGGAGCACTTCCCTGCATTGGAGCAATCCAGGAATGCCCCCAGACTCTGGACAACATTCTCCACAACCCACCCCATCCCATCCTGTCACTGCACTCCAGCACAAACCTTGTCCTTGAAACCAGAGCTGGATAAAATAGGGTCATTTTTATTTTTCAAGTTTTCCATGTTCATAAAAGCAAAGATTCGTGTGGCTGAGCCTGAAGACAAACTGCTTCAAAGAGCAATTTTAATTGAAATGATAATGATGAAAGTTTTGCAGCCAAAAATTGAAAAGTGCATTACTGCATCCCCTCCCTCCTCCTGTTACACGTCCATGCAAAGCAGCAACAAAAATAGGAGCCTTTTGTGAGAGTCTCTCCATGAGTGGTACCAGTTTCCTCAGTCCACAGATTATCTTTTTCTCTGTAAAAATCACTAAGGGACTTCACTGTCCCAATTCTCTGCAGCTTTCCTCATGTTCTTCCTGTGCAGTGCTGGGGTCCTGCCAGTGCACAGGACCTGCCCCTCACCAGAGGCTGCACGTCCAGAAGTGTCCTTGAAAGAGTGAAATTTAAGAGGTTTTTAGAAAGGAAAAGGCGGAGGTTCCAGGATGGCCCCCAAGGGATGGCTGGATGCCAGCAGGGCCGGGATGGAGCCCCGAGGCCGTGCCCCCAGCTGGAGCACTGCCGGCTGCTGGCAGGAGCTCAGAGCCCTGGGGAGGGAAAAGCTCCTCCGCTCCCCAAACAGAAAACGGCTGCTGGTTCCCCTCTCCTTGGCATTAATCTCTGTCCCTCCTGGGAAATTGTGCCACGATAAATCTTTATTTCTCATGATGGCTTGCCAGGTTTAATAATGATTTCGCGGGGGATGGGAGATGCCGGCGAGCCGGAGCACGGGCTGGAGGATGCTCCGCTCCTCCGGCACACACCGACAGGTCGGGACTGATTTATCCTCCTTCCCTGAGCCCTGTTTGTCCAGCTGCCAGGTAGGACCAAGTGAGTAACTATTTCCTCAGTAAATTTAGTCTCTTCTTAATCCTCAGGCACCCCTGCTATCCTGGAATTTATTCAGTACCCACGTGGAACTGAATGGAGTGAAATGTGGGTCTTCAGACCCTCCCCTCGGAAGAGCTGCAGGGTCTCTCCATGTGTGGGAATGTAGGAATTGAGCAGTGCCGGGGAGTTCTATTGTTTTCTAACTCAATAGAAGCCATTTGTAGAACTGTGCTTACGAACGATGGAATTTGTACTTAGTTCCTGCAGTATGCGACTGGCAAACATGAACAATTGAGTTTTCCCTTATTTGTGGAAGTAACTGAATGGCCAAATCCAATTACTCCTGGAAATTCTGCCACTATGCAGAGAGCAGCCTGAGCTTCTCTCCAAGGCGGAGTGGCTGGTGCTCCTGGGGAGCTGCAGGATGCTCAGGATCCCGCTCTAGGCCATTCCACCCCTGCTTCTCTCTCACCCGCTGTGAGGAGCAGGGAGTTGAGAATAGACATTAAATGCCCGATGAAAACGCGACCTACGGCTGAGGAAGATGAGAAGAAGATGCTGCACAGGGAGAGTAGGGCTGTTGGGTCTCACCCCAGGAGCTGTGACAGCTGCCATATGTCCCCTTGACGAGCAGCCCACCAAGCTGATGCCAAGCTGGTGGGATCCACCTCCTGTCCCACCTGCCCGGCAGTCAGGGCTCCGCTTGCCCTGCAGCCAGCACAGCAGAACAGCTTCGGCCGGATGAGCACCAACTGTTTTTGCAGGGAGTTACTATAGAAACTATCTCAACGCCTCTTTTTGTGCAGCCTCGTTGCTGCTAATAAATAGCCTCATTATTTTGCAAAAAGTGCTCGGGAAACAGGGAGCAGCATGACTTGGGCCAAGGCAGAATTAATGGTCGAAAATAGTGGGGCCATTTTTCCCTGTGCCGTGAAAAGCGGGGAGGCCGGGGCTCCATTAGGGAGAGTTATGGCTCATTTCTCTGCTTCTGCTGTATTTATGTTTTATGTATTCAAAAGTGATTTCAGCCACAATCCCAAATTACCAATTCCCACATTACATTAAACGGCTGTGAACAGCAATGCCTCCTGCCTATCAAAATAAACCAGTGAGTGCCGTGCAGGGAGCCAGCTCCTCCCTGGTGCTTGCCAGCACAGCTAGAGGGACAGTGTTCTAGGGGTTGCCAGGCTGATGCCAGGGACATCACCAGTGCCCAAGGCAGATTATCCCTGATTTCCAACCTCAGCAGTCATAGACATCTTCATTTCTCTGCCCAGAGCCTTAAACTGAAACATTTCCTTTTCCCTTCAAGCCCCAGTGCCCCTGAGCAGCCCCAGAGAGGATCATTAAAATATTAACAGGAATAACACAATAACAGGAATAATACAACCCTCCAGAGAGAAGCTAAACCACACATCACTCTTTATGTACTCACAGGTCCTGTTGATTCTGTCTGTTAATGCCATCCCTCTCCCAGCTGGAGATGTGTTCCATCCAGGCAGGGCTGGCCTCTGGAATATACTGGGGAGTGTACAGGCTTGTGGAGTTTGCACTGGGGTCTTGGATCTTTGTGGGCATCAGCCCTCTGCCTGATCAGGACCATCATCAGCCCATGGTTCACACCCAGACCACACTTAGCACATCCCGCTGGTTCTGGAGACTCCCCCAGTTTCTCTGGATCTGAGTAGTCTTATCTGACTCGGGTCCAAGATCCAGCTTGCTTGGTCACCTGAAAAACCTCTGGATTTGTATACAGGCTTCATTACAAATACCACCTGCATCCTCTGACCCACATGTAGTCCCACTAACAGTCCTATTCACAGTCCTACTCACAGTCCTACATGCAGTTCAGCAGCAAGTCATTCTGGTGCTTGAAAATGGAGTGATTTTAGGGAAAAGCTCCACTGCCAGCTCTTGGACCATGGTTTTCTGACAGATCTTTATCTGCCTCTCACCATGGGGAGCATGACAGCTCTGATGGTTGGGATGGGGTTTGCACTGCCCTGCCTGCAGCTGCCTGACTCCTACTAAATGGCATATTATCACTCATGGATCTTAGAGGCAAATATTGCCCAGGAGAAGATGAGTTGGATATTTACCGTACGGGAGGCTGGAAGCTGGCAGTGCCCACAGCAAACCCCCAGCGTGAGCAGCAGATGTCTTTGACTGCCCCTGCTGTGCCTGCAGTCAGGGGCAGCTTCCCCATCCACCCACTTACAAAATCTCTCACAGCCACAGAGTTTCCTCTCCCTTGCTCAGGAAAAGCCGGACGTCACTGTGATATTCTCATGCCACGTCTGTGTGTGTTGCCATTTTTGTGAAGATCTGAAAGAAAACTAGAACTGATCACGCTGGTTTGCCCCTGGCAGGAGCCACCACAGACAAATAGGAAACACAGCTCTCCACAGCTCTTCTCGGGGATCAAACTAATGACTTGCATGGTGTAGACCCAACATCGCGATGGGAGGCAGCCAGGCATCAGCGAAAACGATGGGGAATAGAATGAATCATTTGTCTTCCCTGAGAAGGAAGAGTGAGAAACACAGCCCCTTAACTCTTCCACAGCCACCTGCCACTGCTGCTGGTGTTCCCAGGGTCCCTGACGGACTGGCAGGAGGGAGAAAAGGAGCACAGGAGACAGATGAAAGGACATCACCATGCTGGCATGTCCCCGTTTTTAGGATGGATGCGGACTTGCTCTCCAGAACAGGCTGGCTGTCAGCAATTGCTTATTTTGCTGTTAACAACGCAGAACCACTTATGGAAAAGAATTTCACTTCCTTGATAATGCTAATAAAGTGAATTTGGCTTTGTGTGCTGTATCCTTCATCTAAGGGGCTGGAGGCACCAGAGGCACGCAGGGAGCTGTGTGTCTGCCACACAGCAGTGGCAGAATCCACATCTGTTGGGAGGCAGCTGAGCAACCCAGGATGGAGCCTGATCCCTGCTCTGGGGTACTTTGGACCACGGCACTGCTTCACCCTGGATGCCACTGCCTGATGTGACAGGCTTCCTCACCCAGCTTCTTGGACAGGGAGGGATTCATGGAGCACAAGGAGCCACACTGTGAACTGTGAGCACAAACACATTCAGGTCCAGTGAGGGGCACCTCAGACCAGTGGCAGGGGAGGGGATCGTGGCTGCCCCAAGGCTGAGGGTGCCAGGACTGCTGACAGCTGGGAACAAATTACAGTTCCCATCTAATCAACTCTGCTCATCATTTCCCATTGAGCGAATTAAAAATCTTCCAGCGACACACACGAACTGCGGCCCAACCTCGCGCCTGATAAATGTTCCTTTTGAACTCGCACACAATGGGGGAGCAGATTAAACTTTTAACTTTTTTAATCCTATAATTTATTTAAAATGCATTTGCTGAAAGAAAAGAAAGATTTTTTTCTTTGTGATTTTCTCAAGGGGAGCTGATGTTAGAGACAGATAACGCAGTGCAGCAAGCTTTCCTCTGATGCTCAAACCGAGTCCCGCAGCTCAGGCTGAAATTCCCAACTGTCAGTGAAATCTGGGATTCAGCTGGGGCAGGATTTTCCCTAGCAGAGTCCAGCAGCATAACCCCTATTGGAGTGGGCAGGAGGACCAGAGCTACCCTCCAGCCAGCTCTGCTTCTGTGCCATCACGACACTGCCACTCTGCCTGTGCCCTGCCAACCTGCCAGCCTGGCACTCACTGTCCCACAGGAGTTTCCCAGCCATGCAGACAGGTCCCATTAACTTCCACACTTCCCAAGGGGAATTTGCACGGAACAGCACAGCATATACATGCATTGCAGCCAGGATTATTGTTATTGCCATAATTACCAAAGGAATTAGTAATGCTAAACCATCAAGAGGTAACGCACCAGAGGCTAATGAGCCATTCGACACCCTGAAATGCAAGGAAGCATTTTTCCAGCTAAGAACCACACAATATTTATCTGGGATACCCATCCTTGGAAGTGTTCAATGCCAGGTTGGATGGGGCTTGGACAAACCTGGTCTAGTGGAAGGTGTCCCTGCCCATGGAACTGGATGAGCTTTAATGTCCCTCCCAACAAAAACCTTGCTGGGATTCCATGATTCCATGCCTCTCCAGGAAGGAGTCAGTGCTCAGGTCTGATTTTTTCCAGCCCTGCTTTGGCCACTTTTAGATTCCAACTCTGGCCAAAGCAGGGGCACATCTTCCCTGAAGGAGCTCCCCCTCTCCAAACAGCTCCTGCTGCAGGCAGCAGCCTTAACCCAGCCTCTTGAGCCTTTTGATAACCTCATCTTTATTTGCTATTGACAACACAGCTGTAATTGCAGCCCTCAGCAGAGCAGATGAAAGGAACTCTCCAGGCACTGCAAGGAATAAAGAGCATTGCCTTTATTCTGAGCCTTGGTCTGAGCTCTCGTCTGAGGTAGCTGCGACTCTGCTTCAGCCATGGCAGTGAGAGGGTGATGCTCCTGGTCACTCAGTCCCTGAGCCCAGCCTGCTCCTCAGTGTTGAACTTCCACAGCCACAGAAAACTCCCATGACACCCCATGGTCTCACTGGATCCCTGCACATCCCTCAGTTCCAATAGATACAGGCTCTGGGATTTTCTCGTGTTCCCACTCGTGGGATGAGGAGCAGGAGTGGGGTGGATGTAGAGCAGTCATTGCCTCCTGCAAGCCTCAGTGCCACCTTGGAATTGATGCCCCGCCAACAATAATGACAATAAGTTTAATTCCTGATAAATGGCAGACATAAAACTGAGCTATTGTGTTGCTGAAAGAAATTAAATTAAGGGTGAACAGAAGGGACACATCACTTGGCAGTGTGGCTGATAACGCTGCCTGCTCAGCCAGCCACCACAACAGCCTTTTGGTTCCTGACACAGCTCCTCCTGGTCCTGGCAGGTCCCTGGGTGCTCAGTGCTCCCTAAAACCAGCCCGGCCCCATTCCATGGTTCAATGCCTACAGGGAAGCAGGTCTGCAGCCCCCTCAGTATCCCCCCAGCTCAACATTCCCCTCATCATCCCCTCCCCAGCACCCCCCAAGCATTCCCTGCATTAGGGCACATCCTGGCACTGAGGCCCCACTGCCGTGTGCCCCAGTGGCCACAGCCCCTTCACCCCATCCCCAGGACATGTGGAGAAGGGAGTTTGGTCTTTGCCAAGTTTTTTAGTCTGGGTAGCCTCTCCCTTGGGATGAACACTTACTTGTGTCTGATTATTTTTCTCGGTGCATCTGTGATAGACTCCAGGTTTGCTCTGTGTGCACAGGAAGACTTTCTTCATTAGCTGTTAGACTCCAGCTCCCGAAGAGCAAATTAGGGGACATGAATATGTAAATTAATGCTTCTAAACTGATAGTAGCAGTGCTGCCTCTGAGGGGATCAAAGCTGGGGTGACATTTGGTTACAACTCTTTGCATTTGGGGGGGGGTTGGCACTTCCTTTAATTGTTTTTTGCACTAGAGAAAAATAAAAATAAACCTTCTGCCAAGTTGTTCTCCTGCTCACTCCAGTGCATTTGGGTTGGGTTTTTCTAAATCATATTTGCCCTGTGTTGCCCAAGCTAGCAGCATTCCACTGGAGGGGCTGAGGCTTTTCCAGCCATGCAGAGGCCATCCCTGACTGGTCCCTGTGTGGGGCTGAGCACGGTGGCCATGGAGAGATGGTTTGGCACAAGGGACAGCTTGGGAACGTGCCAGATGGCAGAAACTATGAGGTGTCACAGATGGCTTCAATTCAGGCTGCAAATCCCCCAAGAAGCCTTTCCTCTGCATTGTTTTCCAGTAATGCCCAAGCCAGCTTTCCATCCCTGCAGCCGACCACAAAGCCCCAGGAACGTGTCCCGCAGCCACCACGGCCACCCATGTCCAGCACTCAAATGTCCCAGGCTGACAAAAGGGCCAGTGGAGGGGGGTTTGGCAGGCAGTGGTCTCTGCACTATCACATCCTCCCTCCTCGTGGGGCATCTCCATCCTGGGGCACTGCCCAGGTAACTCCTTGGTAGATACTGGGAATCTGGAGCAGATAATATGGAACTAAAACAAACTCCCTGCCAGAAGCAGCTGTTGGTTCATGTCTCACCACCCCGGGCTGTAAATGCCCTTGGCTGGCTCTCACCCCATTCTCTGCCAGCCCAGCCTCTGCTCAGAAGTAATTAGGAGATAATTAACATTTGTAGCAAACAGCGGGAAACATCTGGGCCTGATAAGGTAGCAGGAGCCCTCGAGGGTGATTAATGGGGCTGGAGGAAGGAGAGCAGTGGGTGGCATGGCAGAACATTGTGCTGGTGGGGACAGGCTGGGGACTGGAGGGAATGGGATGGGATGGGAATGTCTCTAGGGGATGATCCAGGGATGGGGATGCCTCTTCCCACCCTCCTCCCAAGAAAAGATGGGAAGGCAGCACCATCCCCTGCAGGAAGAGTTTCTCAGCTGGGAGCCGATCACTAGGAAAAGACCTGGATTTAAAGGAAGAAGAGAGGGCATTTGGTGGAGCTAGAATTTATTTTGTATGACTCCCACTTAATTAAGTATTTCATTTGCATAACCCTGTGCATGTACTCACTTCTGTCATCAAGAAGTTCAGCCATGTGGAAACAGTTTGCAAAAATAACACACATAACTCAAACTTACACAGTTGTAAAAATGGGTTTACACGACGTGGTTAAACAGGCCTGACAGGCAGCCTAGAACCCCCTTCCCCTTCTCCTTCCTCTTCCCCTTCCTTTCTTCTTCTCTAAAGAGAGGAATAAACTTCTGCATTGATTTCTGGAGAAATATTTGGGATGTTGCTGGGCTTCATCAGCTCCTCTGGCAATTCCCTTTCTGACCACCCTACTGCAGAGTTTTATAGTGGAAGGGGAGCCTTGGGCTCCCTGGAGCCACTCACACGTTATTTCCCTGTGAATCAGCGAAAGGCCAAGCCAAAGGGTCCTCAAGGCCTCCCATAACCTTATTAAACCTTTCCCTCATTCCTAAAGGTGCCCGTGCCCAGGCCACTCCAGCCTTTCACCAGCAGTGTGTGGGTTGGATTGTGAAGAAGCCAAAAATACAGCCCTGCGCACACAGAGACATATTTTTAGGGCTGTGCTGACCTTCTGCAGTATCCTTCTATCCTCCCCATGTGACACCAGGAGAAATATCCCTGGTGACACTTGGTGGCCGCGCGAGTGGCCCGCGAGCGAGCGGCTCTGCACGCGTGGGCTCGGCAGCCAGCGCGGCCGGGAGGGCTCAGTGCCAAGGGATGCTCAGCAAACCCAGCTGACATTTCCCAGTGTGACATTAATAAAGGTGGGCTGGAGCAGGGCAGAGGCGCTGGGGAGAAGCCAGAATGTCCCTGAGGAGGGGGACTCCGAGGTCCGTCCCATCCTGCCCAGCTCGTTCCCTTTCCCACCCAGCCGGAGCGATGCCGAGCGCCGGGGCAGCAGTCCCTGGGCTCCCCCCAGCCCCTGTGCAGACACACAGCCCTGCTCCAGCCTGGCATTTCTGGGGCGGCCACGGCCACCTGAGCAGTGGCTGCTGAAGGAGACACGTGGGCCTGGCATGGGGAACAGCATCCTCACAGGCAGAGGCTTTTTGCCAATATCAGAAAATTTCCGAGGTGTTTGAAAAGTTCTGATTTGTTGAGCATGAACAGGTCATGTTTGCTGCTCCCTCTGCCAGCCCAGGTGGTTGCTGCTGAACCAGAGGCTGGGGGGATTTCCAGGTAGCCAAATGCCAGATGTTGATGGCCCCTGGGGCAGCTCCCCTCAGAGTTGTATACACACCACAGAAAATTCATTTGACCATGATCCAAGAGGCTCTGGGAAGCCACTGGATGCATCCCCTCTGTGAGCATCCCCTG